TGCGTTCGGTTGCCGACCAGCTTCAAGCCCGGCAAATTGGCATGCAATGCTTTCCCACCCAGTTTTCCTATTTTTGGGATAGTTACCGCTCGGCCACCGCAAAGCCCTACAGCTACCTGATAATTAACTGCCATGCCAGCTTGCAAAACCTGGACCACCGGCTGGTGACCGGCATCTTCCGAGAGGATATAAACCAAATTTTCTACCTGCCCCCATAGTATGCATTGCAGTCACTTTTTACAGCGCCTCTCCTCCAGCAAAAACCCGCGCTTGCTTTTAAAAAAGGCTAAAAACGTTGAAATTAAGGTACTGGTTGAGTTGCTGGCTAATATCGTGCGGGGGACTATTCCTCTTTTCAAGTACGAGGTCAAAAGGTTCCAGCCGTATCTCGAAATTATCAAAAAATTAGCCAAATTACGGCAATTTGAGCAGGCGCGCGAAGCTTTGATTAAACATTTTGCGGCCGTGAAGGTTTTTCTCGGGCCTTTGACCAGTTTTTGTAATGGTAAAACCAACGTTTAGAAAGATGAAGCTCGTCCCCTGCGAGCAAGAGGGCGACGGCTACGCGGAAACACCCAGAGAGCAAAATGTTGCAGATGCCCGCCAGACTGAGCAAAAAATGCGTAAACTTTTGCACGGCAACTTGCCCGACGACATGAAAATGCGCATGTACTCAGAATTGTTCAACACACTAACGTCCCTGGTGGCTGAAATTCGTGACAAGGACAAACCTGCCACCCCGGAAGTTCCGGTTAAAAAGGTAAAAGTCACCCCGCGTCATCACCACCATGCCCCCGAGGCCTTTTCACCTATTAAAACCCGCGCGCGTCGACTTGCCGAAGCCAAACAAAAAGGCGATGGCCGTTTCCGTGTCAAAATCTACAAGAAACAAGTTGGATAAACTCTTTACGAACCTTCGTTCCCCTATCGCTTTCACTTCAAGGGCCAACTTGTTGAAAGCCGCTGCGAATATCCCCAAAGCTACAATCGACGCCTATCTACAAGGTAAAAGCTCGTACTTTTTGCATAAAAATGTTGCGCATAGGTACCCTCAAAAAAAGTTTTTTGGAAGTAGTCTCAACAGCCACCACTGCGCAGATTTGGGGGATTTTCAAAATTTAAAAGATTACAACCGGCAGTTTCGGTATTTGCTTGTCGTGGTGGACCTGTTTTCGCGAAAGACTTTTGTAAAAGCCCTGCTGACCAAGAAATGCGAAGAAGTTAGAGAACGGTACAGCGAAATTTGCGCAGAGATTGGGAACCCACCCTATTTTCTGACGACAGACCGGGGAAAGGAGTTTGTCGGCGCACCAATGAAAGAGTTTTGCAGGGAACACGAAATTGTGCAAATCTTTACAAATGGGCAATCAAAAAGCGCGCCCGCCGAGCGTAAAATTAGATCGATAAAGGAACGCCTGTACGCCTACTTTACCGAGAAGGACACGTACAACTGGGTGGACGTGGTTTCGGATGTCGTGGCCGGCATCAACGCAACACCCACAACGGCCCGGGAAGGGCTGGCGCCGAACGAGATTACCAAAGAACACCGTTTTCAGGCACCCGTCGTCAAGAAGCAGCGTAAACCCGATCCAATTTTGGAGGTGGGTGATTGTGTAGTTATAAAGTTGTTGGATAAGGTTTTTCGGAAAAGTTATGAGGGTACGCGCAAAAATGAGGTTTTTGTGGTGCGGGAAATCAAGCGACACGGTGCGTTCGACGCACCAATTTACTATCTTTCCGACCTGAATGGTGAAGAAATTGAGGGTTTGTTTTACAAAGAAGAACTGGTGAAAATTAACCGCCCTAGGCTTTTTGCGGTTGAGCGTATTTTGCAGCGCAAGACGGTTCGGGGCGTGCGTTGCGGGCTAGTAAAGTACGTCGGCTATTCGGACGTATTTAATAGGTGGGTCCCTTTAAAAGATATCCAAAATGGTAGTCGAACCTTTGCCCCCCTCTAACCGTTTGAGTACCGCCCAAATTTTTGTCGTTTTCCTGATAGTAATTGCCTGCTTGATAAACATGACAATAGCGCATATAAAAGGCTTGGACGTTTCCCTTTGGTTTAGTACTGTTATTAACGCCGCCTGCCTTTTGGTTCCAATTAAGCGAAAATGAGTGACGATTTTTACGTTACGGTAGTTGGTCCCTCGACTGAGAGAAGTTCGACTTTAACAAACCACCTGTCCCGTGAATTGAATTTGCACGAGGGTGGCGCGCAACAAAGTCAATGGGCCTGCGCCCTCGTCGAAATGACGGGGGTGGGCGACGTCGACCAGGTCCCGGAAGACCAGCCGTTGAAGGTTTTTGACACGGAGAATAAGGTGACAAACTATTATTTACCGGCAGGAAATTACCTGAAACCAGCCCGACTTGCAAATGCGCTCAACTCGGTTTTTAACAAGATTAGAAAGCGTAGGGGGACAATCTACCACCCAATTTTGACGCGTCGAACGAAAAGAAAACTTTCACTTCACTACCGTTGGATGGTGCAGAAGTCCCGCACAACGAAGAAGTCGACCCTACCCCCGCCCCTGCCATTACCCCGCCCGCTGTCGAACCCGTTGTTGAACCCACTGCCGAACCCGAGCCCGCTGCCGAACCCACTGCCGAACCCGTTGTTGAACCCGAGCCTATTGTCGAACCCGTTGCCGAGCCCACTGCCGACCCCACTGTCGAGCCCGCTGTCGAGCCCACTGCCGAACCCATTGTCGAGCCCGCTGTCGAGCCCACTGCCGAACCCATTGTCGAGCCCGCTGTCGAGCCCACTGTCGAACCCTCTGTCGAAGCCCCTGCTGAAACCCCTCCTCCTGTCGAAACCGACGTCGAAACCCCTGCTGAAACCCCTCCTCCTGTCGAAACCGACGTCGAAACCGCTGCCCACTCCCCGACCGGACCGCCCACCTCGCCCACGGATTGGTCACTAGCTGGAGGGGACTCAAATTTTGATGCGTCAAACCTGGAAAAGGATTTTACTTCCTTTCGCCTCCCCGAAGAAGTTGTTTTCCAGCCGGAATTTAAAAAACCTGCTAGGCCAGACGTTCTCGACGTCCTCTTCACTTCAAATGATGAAGACGGGGTTAAACCGTTGGAAGAGACGGTGTTGGAAGTGCCTGTTGCCCCGCTTCAAAACTTTACGGATAGTTTTTCGATCGATCTAAAACTCGGGGCCTACGAAAATTGTGGGATCTGTTTCGAATATGACGAGAATAAGATGCGTTTTACCGCGAGCGTCGACCCTAAACGCGTATCGAAGGTTGTTTTGCCCACACTAATCTGGCGGATGCTCGGTTTCGAGACTAGCGTACTTGCCGGTTTCCAATTGGCCAGGTTTCTACCCGACCTGACCTTTAACACACGTAATTTGCGCGTTTTTTGCAATTTGGTAGACCCCATTTGGTGGGGGTGATTTTTTGGAGCTGTTACGCAGCATTCCAAATGACACCCTACCTGGTGGGGTGTCGACAAAGACATTCAACCCCCCCGTCTACCATCGCGTCAAGCAGGGACGCTTCAATTCGATCAAACTACACGTTACCGATGATGATGGTCGTCAGGTACCTTTGAATTTTGGTAAAGCGGTTGCCCTCCTCCATTTCAAAAGACTATATTAAGGGTTTGATGCGGTTTCGGTAATTAGTTTTCATGTCATTTGCTAGCTACCACCTTGTCGACCCGTCCTCTATTCAGTGGACTTTCACGCTGGCGCTCAAACCCGACTGCCAAACCTGCAAAAGGGTGGTGGGGTCATACCACCGTTTCGTAACAGCAAATTTTTGTTACCTGTGAAGGCTGAAGTTGTTACCCCCGAACCCACTAAGGCACCATTGGGACCCCCAATTGAAGAATTTGTAAAGAAAAACCGGCCCCCACCGAAACTATTTGGCGAGGGTAGTATAAAAAGGGGTCGTAAACGTAGAGCATCCATTTTCACACTTCTCCCACCCAAAAATGTCAACGGTAAAAGCTCTCGAAAATAACCCCGAGCTTTCTTTTTCTAGCGAACTATCCCTTTTTGACCCAATCCAGCATGTGGTCGGCATTCAGTCTATGCGCTTTCGTAGCATTGCCCCGGAAAATAGCAGTCTAAACCAGAGCGGTCCCTATACTTTTCGTATTATGAAAGAGCCGCATTTTATTAACCTGGCTCGCTCGTACGTGACAATGACCTTACGTTTGGTTGACGATAAGGGGGCCGGTTATGTACATTCAGAAGTCGCTGCTGACGGGAAAATAAATTTTAAGGAGCGCTGCGCCCCTATACAATTTGCCGCGCGTGCCTTCTGGAAACAGATTACGTTAAGCATTGGGGGGTACCCAAATTGAAAACACTGGCGACCTCTACCCTTACCGCGCATTCCTTAATGCAGAGTTTATGGCGGACAAAAACGTTAAGCAATTCAACTACGGTCACCCTCAACTCTACGACGCCGGGGACAACGGCTCCGAGCACAAGACGAACGACGGTTTCGAGAACATGAGCGTTCTTTTCATGAAGGGCCGCTCGGTGCAGGTGAACAGCCCTTTGGACCTAAACATTTGCAGTGCCAACAAGCTCATGTTAAACAACAGTGACATTCAGATTACGATGCACCGTCAAAGCGACAAATTCCTGATTCGCGGCTACGACTCTGAGCACGAGAATTGGCGTTTTGTCATCGACGACATTCGACTTGTCGTTGCCGAGTACCAGCTGTACCCGTCGGCGGTTGCGGCTATCGAGCGACAACTCAGTAGCGGAAAAAGGCAAGTTACCCGATGCGTAGCTACCAAACAAAGAGTTTTTTCATGCCCGAGGGTGTGTTGAAACTCCCAGAGATGCAGTTGTTCAACTCCAACCAGATCCCACGTCGAATTTTTGTTGGTCTTGTGAAAAATGAGGCTTTTGTGGGGTCGTATAAGACTGACCCTTGGCGTTTCCATCATAATTCTATCAAAAATTTAAACATTCATTTTGCAGGTCAAACGGTTCCCCACAAGCCATGGAATTTGAGGTGGGATCAGGGTGGTTTGGGCTGCACCGAGGCGTACACGCAGATGTTGGAGGGTTGCGGCATGTCCGGTAGCAACCTAACAAACGGCATTGGACATACAATGTTTTCAGACTCACGATGCGTACACATTTTTGAACTTCTCCCGGACGCTGACGGTGGTGTTGACAGTTTCGATATGGCCGTTGCCGGGCAATGCACACTGGACCTCGAGTTGAGCCAGCCGGTTCCTAAAGGTGGGTTGATGGTCGTGGTTCACGCCGAGTTAATGGATAAATTGACGTTGGACCAGACCCGGCAAGCCCAGACGCTGACATTGTAAAATGAACAACCTGGAAATTGACAGTATCCTGATGTCGAACCCAAAGACGCTCGCATTTTATCAGGGCACGTACGCCGTCGACACGTTGCCATCACGACCTCTGAAGCCAGCCATCTGCGTCAACACCGACAAGATTTCCGGCGAGGGAAAGCATTGGGTGGCCTTCTTCGCCCGTGGAGATACGGTATTTTACTTCGACCCCCTTGGCGATAGACCTGCAAATGGCATTCTAAAATGGCTAAAAACTCACTTTAGGAACATAGTTTGTAGCCCTTTGCAGTTCCAAGCCTTCGGGACGCGTACCTGCGGTGTATTCTGCATTATTTTTTTATATCAAATGAGTGTCGGCTTACCTTTTTATGACGTGTTGAAATTCCTCCGTACCGTAGACGACCCATATGTGATCCTGTTCCTGAAAAGTCGTTTTAATTTCACCCTGCCCATGGAGTACGCCAGGCAAAAACGTATATAAGGAGAGGTGGCTCAACGACTCAAGCTCATTTGCTAACCGCGTTTTTATGATTACCATTCCTGCTGCACGTCCAACTTTCCGTTGCTTCAACTGCGACAAGATCTTTTCCACCAACTCCAACCTTGTACGACATATTAAACTTAACTGCCGCAGTTCCCCGAGTGGACAGATAGAGTCGACCTTCGACGAAAATGCCGACCAGCGAGTCAACTTACAGAAAGACGGTGATAAAGATACAAGTGGAGCCAAAAAGATCCTTGAAATCTCTTTTTACTACGATGCTGCTAGCAACTCTCTTAAATCTCATCTTAACGCCTGCAATTAGGGATCGAGCCGTTGAGTACCTCCTCTATAATCTGTTCACCATGTGATTTGTGTAAGGAATAAATTTTTTAAATATATCACTTGCAAACGCACCGTATCCCCTGGTACACGGGTTGTTTTCCGTTGTTTTTGAGTGCGTAAACCTTCTGCGTGTCTGCCCTGGGTCGTGTCTGTCGGGCTAGTGTCTGCGTGTCTTTTCGGTTAGACGGGGGCCTAGTGTGACTACAATCTGAGTCGGGTCTAGTGAGTCAATCTCGCTTAGGATCGGTTGAAAGAGGAAATCTACGGAGGGGACCACTCGGGGGCCACGAGAAGGCGGGAAAGCCAGGGTTCTAAGGTCCGTAAAAATAATCGAGGGTTTCTTGATGAGGTGGTGTTTCGCCAGACGGGCGTAGATACGTCCATCTAGACGAGAAATCTCCAGTTCCCAAATTGTCATCTTTACCGGTGCGTCGTTGCCAGACATCATCGGGTTGTCGCACGGCACCACGTCTTCGCAGAGATGAATCGGCGTCATCTGTAAAGATTTATTTTTAAACTGTTCTTTGAAAGTACGAAAACAATTCAAGGAAAACACAAATACAAAAAAAATCATGCAAGGAAACTTGGGGGCTTATCTCTAACATCTGCGACGGGTAGGTCAACTAACTACAAGGAGAGAGAGAACACAGCGCATCACACATCTCTAACATCTGCCTCTGGGAGAGGCCAACAAGGGAAGTCAGAGGGTGGGAGGCAAAAATCATCACGAGAGGTCGGCAAGGGTAGAGAGAGAGAGAGAGTACGCTACATCATGAAAAAGTGGTGGGAATTGAAAATGTCACGAAAATTTTGGAAATTGGGGGTTAGTCGGCATCAGAGCGTGGGGTATAGGCCTTTTTCGGGGGGTGATTCCAGCTAAGATTATTCAGCATATTGGTAAACTTGCTACAATATTGACACTGAAAGAATTGGTAAACATTGGGTATGTTGGCGAAATGGGAGGTGGCTGTTTTACACGTCTTGCACATTTTGACGTGGATGAGGGGGGTCATATAGTTTTGGGGTGGGTAGCCCCCTTTTCGCCCGGGATGATTATCGGGGTTAGGTTGATCCTGAGTTTCAGCTCCTCCATTCTCCGACTCTGGGTTTTTTTCAACACCGGCTTCGGCGGGGGGTCCGTCGTGGGGGGTTCGGGGGTCGACGGGTTGTTGTTCTTCTTGCTGAAGAGACTACCCATTTTCAACATTCATATTACTTCTGACTAGTTCAAATGAGAGGATTCGTAAAAAAGACCCGATTAAGGCAAGAAAGAAAAGTCTGAAAAAAGTCGGAAAATCCGAAAATGCAAAGTCAAAAATCGAAAAACGGAATACAGGTAGCAGAATACGGGGGCACGGGTAATGGTAGTTTTGGGGGATTCGGAATGGTTTCCCGCACTATGGGCCCGCTTTTATGCGGACTCTGCCTGGACTAGCTGTCAGTTCCTGGACTGACCTCAACCGCTCGTCAACCGCTCGTTAACCGCTCGTCAACCGCACGTTACGCGCTCGTCAGGAGTTGACCTCAATTTCGCGGACTCGGTGATGGTGACATGTTATAACCCCCCCTTACCCGCACATTTTTGGCTCGTTTTTTCCAAGCCAACTACGGTAGGCTCTTCCTTTCAGTATGTTGGCCTACCAGATGGAATCTTTCAATCTTCCAACTTTTTTGCTCCAGAAGATCCCTTAACCGTTCTACCGCATTCCACTGATCGTGCTATTGTCAAGGTTTTTAAGTATCTCAAAAGGGAATTTGGTGTGTCCCCTCTCAATCCCTTTGACGTTGATTTTCGACAGTTAAGCTGTGAAGAATTTGACGGAGTTACTGAATTCCTAAAGTCTTGTGAACTCTATCTCCGTGTACGTCACCACGACAAAGTGTTCTACCATCGAGTGTACTGTCCGGTCGTTAAGATTCGCAAAACACCGCCAACCCACCAGTTCGGAAGGGTATTCTTAACTTACAAGGAAACGATTGACATTTGTTATAGATTGTGGGTAACCCCGCAAACTCATAAACGTTGTAACTTGTATATTGAAGGTGAGATTCCCTCGCATCTCGTCCCGACACCCCCTCTCCTCAACCTTGACTTGTTGTATGCCGCCTAACCCCTTTTCCCGTTCTCTCGCCTCGGATTTATTTCTTCGCGTTGCTCTGGTCTCACTATGTGTAGATAAATTCTTTATTGGGACAATATAAAATAAAATACCTGATTGGGGTTTTTAAAAGGGGTAACAATATAGTAGTCGCGTGCATCCCGTAGGTACGCGCTTGCCCGACTGGCGTCTTCATCGCCTAACTTTTTTTTGCCTCGCTTTGCTCCTGCCCATCGTTTCTGGTAAAAAACAGATCGAATGCATTGACGGCGGCGTGCGTCTTTTTTCCTCTCACAGTGCCGACTATGAGATCTGCGCTAATCAGCATTGCCGAATTGTCAAAAACCCGGCTCCCGAACACCTCGAACTCTTTGACCCTCAGATCACCCGCAGAGATTATTGGGTCACCTGGAAATCCGGGGTTGGCATAGATCCTCACGAAATACAAATTCGCTGCCCTGCTACACCCTTTTGCAATACCATTACCTGCACCTTTTGCTCCGAAAGTCTATTTAATTTCACTTGCCATCCCATCTTGTCGACCTTCCTGGCTGTTTTGCTCATAGTCGCCAGCGCCGCCACCTTCTATTGGGTTCTGAAGGGCTGCCACCTTAGTCTCCGGTGGTCGCTGCAGTGCCTGTTCCTGACCCGGTCCATTTTCGCCTCTTTGCGTCGCCTCCGCCGGTATCGACGGCCGAGTGACGACATGCTCCCCTTGCTCCAAGTCCACGTCTCTTCCCCTCTGGTGCCTTCCGTCCCCCTGGAACCAGCAGTAATCCGCCGTCGGACTGAGCCTAAATTCTTGTTCTTCGTCATCCTTTTTCTGACGTGCGCTTTCCCGTGCGCTACCGCCTGCACGGACACTCTGTTTCTCCATCAGGAGAATATCCGCTGCACCAGTGCGGCCTCCACCGGCCGTACCACCTGTACCCTTCACAAAATGATTTTGGCACAGCTTAGTCATGCCAACATGGACAATTGCTTCCTTCTGCGTGACCTCAATCATACTATCATTGGCGAAGTGCGAATTCGCTTGCTCTCTGTTCGGCAGACCTGCCAGAAGGCGGTGGTTGCCTACACTCGCGACAGCATTCCGACGATCGTGTTTAATAAACGATGCCCTCGCATGGGTTCGTGCAAAAACAACTATTGTGCCCAAGTTACGAGCGACACGATTATCCCCGAATTGCCTGATGCCGCCAATCACGCTCTCGGCAGCTCTCACTGTGCGGAGAGCTGTGGAGGGATCGGCTGCTTGTGCGGATTTTTCTCGCCTGGATGCTTGTTTTATCGCATCACTGAATCTCCTGTGTCAAGGCATCCTATTGAATATTTCAAATGCCGCTCTTGGAAAAGCAATATTGACTTGGAAGTTCAAGTGCACATTGCGAATCGCACCTCTCGGGAGTCTTCCCGTTTCAAGCCATATCGCACTGCCCAATTCCAGGGATATAGCCTGGTCGTTAATTCTGCTGATTTGGCTACCTTTGATAGTCATTTTCAACGGTTTTTGCTCGACAAATCCCGTAACATCTCTGCACTTGCGCCTTCTGACTTCCAGCCCTTGATCAAATGCCGAAGTCCCCGCTTTCTCAATTGCACCTTCTTTGATTCTTGCACCTGTCATCCCATCGATGATAATGTTGATTGCCGCTGCCATTACTCACGTCTGCAGGCCATATTCCAAGATCTTTCCCAGGTCTTGCCCGTCACGACGCCAGACTATAGTCTGGTCTTGTCTCAAGGCTTTCTTCCCGAGATCTACCATCGCTCCTTTCAAATAGGCTACATGTTGGATCTCCAGGGCCTCAGTTTTGAGCCCGTTACCTTTTCCGAACTTTTTCAATCGGCGGACATTCGAGTTCTGTCCGTCTCCGGTTGCTTCTCGTGCTCCTCGGGCGCTCTTGTTACCTTCTCCTGTCAACTCGCTCACCCTGATTTGATCCCCATTTATTTGGAGTGCCACGATCTCGAGCCTTCCAACTCTCAATTTTTTGCCATCTCTTGTCGAAACCATGCCGTTCTTACAAACATCTCCCTGCACTTTTCCGTGCCTCAGGTTCAACAAACCTGCCGATCTCGGCAAATTCCCTCTTTGCAATTTCCGCTTACCGGCGTACTGCATTTTGATGCGGCCCGGCAATCCCTTAATAGCGAGGTTTATCGCGTTGCCGTGTTTTCCCGCTGGCATTTCGATATTCCCTATGCCTCACTGATCACTTTTTGCACCAACTTCTATCACGTCATGCTTTTCGTCCAATCTCATCGTTTGGCCTTGCTCGCCCTCGTGCTTCTTGTCGTAGCCATCTTGTACAGCCTTTATCAAGGTTTCCTGTTGCTCGTCCTCCGCAGCAGTTTTTCTTGCCTTAGCGGGTGTTCTCGCTTTTTGCAAGCCAGTCTCTCCTGGTTTTTTCGCTTCCTGCTCTCCGCTTTTAAACCCAAGCGTGCCTAAACCCTTCATTTCAGACTCTTTGCAACACTCGCCTCCCGATCCGATAATGTCCTCGATCTTGAAGTGGTCGACCTCCCAGCGCCGCCCTGACGTCGAGCAAATGAATGACTTGGCCTCTTTCCCGCCCGTCGTGGACATTGGCTTGCCAGCCCCTCCGCGACCTGCCAAGAAAAGCGCCCGTGCCCCGCCAGCTAGGCGTGCCCTGAGCCTGCCCCGCCGCCGCCCCGCCACCGTTGCGGACGAGCGTCCGGCCGTGCCGCCCCCCCTCCAACCCCAGGCTCACCAGCCCTTGGACGCACTCTTGCCCCCTCCTGCTCCCGCCTCGCAGCCTCTCGAGGTGGCGGTTGTTGCCCCGCTTGCGGAAGAGAATCGAGGCCCGTCCACTTCGCCTCCAGCGGCCCCTGGGACTGGCCTTGCCGCCCTCGAGGAGGGTGTCTTGCTATCGGACGAGCAGTTCTTCGCGGTTATGCTCGAGGATGACATTCCGGGAGACGCCTGCGCTGTGGACTCCCACATGCCCGAGCCCGCGGCTCTCCCTCCTCCTGCACTCGCCTCCCTTGATGTCGACATGGAGATGAGCGGCTGCGAGGCCCCGCCCGTGAAACGACGGGTCCTGACCGGCGAAGACGCCGAGGCGTACGACAAGTACCGTGCCGAAATGGCTGCCAAAGCCCTCCGCGAGGAAGAACGGATTCGCGCTGAACGCGAAGTCCGTGAAAACAAGCTACGCAGCATCATGAATGGGCTTGACCGATTGCACGAGGGGACCCCGGTGCACCTGGGATTCGGCACGATGCCGGGTGAACTTCGAGCCCAGGCCCAGGAAAATTGCGTCCTTTGCTCCCAAGCCCACTCGCTTTTAAATTGCTATATATTCGCTACAGCCGAAGAGCGTAGTGCGGCCCTAGCTCGCTACTCAATCTGCGACAACTGTTTTTCCCATACGACCAACGGGCGTGCCCGCTGCCATGCTTCGCGCCGCTTCTGCACCGTCTGCGTCCGCCACTATGGCGATCTCGTACCTGAAGCGGAACACAATTCTGCTCTCTGCCCTCGGTTCTTTACCCTTGCTCGAGCCCTCGTTGAGAAAGCAAAATGGTTTCCCGTGCAATCGCGGCGCACTCCGCGTGCTGCTCCGTCGTTGTTTGCCGCTCCCGCTGCCCCGATCCCGTTTCCTCCCGGGCTGCCTCGCCCGTAAGTTGCTTCCTTTCTCTCCGGCGCTTTTCGCCCTTGTCTTAATAGCGTATCTGCGGCCCTCGAGCCTCCCTTTTGCTCTGGGTTCCACACCCTCTTGCTCATCACCCTTTTGCAGCCGCCGCTCACCTGCACCATCGCCGTCTCGCTCTCACCAGGGCCCTCGCCGCCGCTTCGATTAAGCCAGATCTGCCCTTCTCTTACTACTCCTGCCCTTGTTGCTTCGCCCTTTTCTTTCTTTTCTAAAAACGCCTGCGCCGTTTTCTGCTCTCCGCTTTCTTGACGACTCCCTAGTCTCCTGCTCATCAAAACCTTTTTTTCTTGCCCCGGGAGTGTGGCTCCACCAGGGGAGCCACGCCCCTCCAAGAGGGCGACCAGCCAGCTCTGTGCGGGCTGGTCAGGTAGTCTTCTCTCTCTACCGTTCCTTTAGAACGAGGGCCTCCCTCTGAGGGACGGCCTATCTCTCGGACCTCTTCTAAAGAGGTCCAATGACTGCACAAGTAGAAAATAGATCCTTTTGCCCTGCAGGAGACTAGAGTATAAATACTACTGCTCAAGGTTATGTCTTATTCTCTATTATATTATCGTATTATTCTCTCTATCTATTTATAATTATTATGTAATTGCTCAGTTATAATCTGCAATAAAGAGAAGGACTTAAAGATAATTGAACTACATCTACCACACAACACGATGTGTAGAATGCAAGTGTGCTCTTCTTGGAATACAGAGGATTGCAATATCTGTAGCATAGTACCGATGGTGCTACAATTGGTATCACAAGGCTTTGGGCCACCATTGCTAGAGGTTGGCTTTGGGCCCTTGTTCCAAGTCTTTCGGTATCCCGACTGCTGGATACGATTCACATTGGCATGCTGTTCGACCACAACATCCATGTTCAGGCTCGTCTGCAGGTCACACTCGCGCAGCAGATCATCCAGTTTCACGTCATTCTTTGACTCAAGAATACGGATCAATTTCTTGCGGATATCGCGATGTGCCTGGTCAGACAGTCCAGCAACGAAAAGTAAACACTTTTCTTCATCTTCCTTCATTTCCTTGACACGACCTTGCTCGTATAATTTGTTGACGCGAGCGGCGTAGGATCGCATATCCTCATCGTGCTCTTTCGCTACGCGAAAGGCGAGGAAACGTCGACTGAAAAGCGACAGCTTTTCTCCAAACATCTCAGTCAAATGCTTGACGATGTCGTCGTATGCGATGGAGGACAGCTCGGTGGGTCGAGCATGATCCGCTAGCAAGCCATAGGATTTGGCATCCAGCATCCCGAGAACAAGATGCTTTTTGTTCTCCTCCGATATGCGCGATTCGGTGGCGATGAGGTTTGTGAACCGCTCATGCCATTTTTCGAAGGTAATCCCCTGGGACGGGTCATACTCGAATCGACTTATGCGAGTGGCTAGAGCGCCCAACTCGACTGCATTCAGAGGCCTTTGGCTTTGGCTTGAATCTTCGCTAACCGAGTCCGTGTGCGTTTGGACCTCGGCGCGGATCCGCTCGAGCTCAGCCATGAGCTTGGCTTCTCGCTCTTGTCCGGCGACCATGACAGCGGTCATCTGCTGGTTCGCGGCGGCGAGCTGCTTGAGCACGTCCTTGAGCTCGGGGTCGTCGGCCATTCTTCAATTCAGTTCGAATCCTTGATCGCCAATTGTTGTAGGTGTGGCTGTGCGTGAGTTCTTGAGTGCTGGCTCGAACCAAGGGGATACCTTGCGTGAGAGCCGTTTGACACCTGAATTGATATGACGAAAGAAGAGGACAGAATAGTTTATTTACAATAACGGGCTAGCCTAAAAATAACACAAGCAGCCGGACAAGACGGGCGTAGTGGAAAGAGTGAAAAAAGACACGCACAAAAATGGGGTTGTGCCGGGGGACGGGGAGGGCGCACACAGGGCGTAGTACAAAGGGGTGCGCCGTACAGGCATCGCGTAATTGGATCAAAAGACTTTCTTCTCTTGCTTCCGCAACAGAGGTATTCGGCGGAAATTGTCCAATCTTTGAGCTCCATTTAGCCTTCAGCAACACCTCGTCGCCGTCTACCGTAACCATGGCCCTTCGAGCAGCTGTCTTCAGCGCTTTAGTTGTGCTTGGTAAGCTATAATTTTCTTAGTTAAAGTTTTTTAGTTCTTAACTCAAAAATTCATCGTAGTCACCTAGGTTTCAAAATGCGCAAAAAAAAGGAAAAAATATTTTTTTGGAAAACTCAAAACAGAACGTAACCGTAAGCTACCTATCGAGGCGATAGTCCCTGCCTAATTAAATGGACTAGAAAACAGCCAATACGACCCATGTCAACAGCTCTCGCCAGCTACGTACTGAGCACTACAGCTACAAACTGCATGAAGTACTTCGCTTAAAAAGACCGCTTCAAGCTAAATGAATCGAACTTGCGCCGGTCGTTTGCAGCGCGGCGTAGCCGTCGAAGGAATTTCTAAACTTCGAATTTCCAAACTTCGCAAAAATCTTCTTCTAGTCGGCGCCCAAATGACGCCCAGCCCGACCGGCTGCCCAATCAACTGGTTCCCCTACAACGGCACCTGCTATACGGTAAGGTAATGACATTTTAGGACACGACGTACCTTATTTTGGGCAGCTTCCTAAAGTTTGACCTTCCGCACTTTCAGACCAAAACCGATCAAACCTACACGATGGCTCTGGCGGAGGCGCTTTGCCAAGCTGACGGTGGCCACCTGGCTTCGGTGCATGATAACTCGGTAAAAGTCGGCTATTAACTTACCTAAAGAGTTATCTAGACGACCTACTTCTTGATGGATTTCATAGCCTCTCACGGAATCGGAAATGCGGCGTGGATTGGGCTGAAGAACGTCGGCGGAAACTCGAGTTGGACTGATGGATCGAAGCTTGATTTTGCCAATTATGCCCGTAAGTAGCGATAGACACAGAGAGAGAGAGAGAGAGAGAGAGAGAGCGAGAACAAGAAGACAGGAGTCACTTCAACTCTTATACTTTTAACTACTATTAACTTTTATATCCCCTTCTTCAGCGCGTCAGGACCCAGCTCCGGTCTGCTACGCTTTCTCGACCGCCAAGATGTACTACCCGGGCCAGTGGCTGTCTGTGGTAAGTCTTAGGACCTTAAACCTAATTATAAGCCTTTAGATACATCACGAAAAATTAGCAATGTTTGGTAGTACAGTTTAAATAATTCAATTCTAGCCCTGCGAGAGCCACTTCCGTGCCGTCTGCGCTCGCCCTCAAGGTCTTCCGATGCCCACCCAGCCAGCTCCGCCTACGTGTGGAAACACGACGTTCTTTGGAAATAACGGAACGGTAGGGAATCCTCATTACTTATTAAATGTCACTTGTATACTTACTGTACTTATCATTAAAAAAATCAAGTTCTTAATGTCGTAAAAAGCCTTTAGAACCTCTAATTCCAGATTCAATCCCCCGGCTACCCGTTCGAGTTCTCGGACCGCCAGAGCTGCCAGTACCAAATCAGCGCCTTCAACAACTACGCTAACGTTGAAATCAGCGTCATCCGTGCCTTGAACGACTTCAACCTGAACGTCTTCGACGGCACTGACCAAACCAAGCCGCTGTGGCAGGAGGGACAGTTCACCCAGAGGACCTACACGTTGACGCTCAGCTCGGGATCCCCGCAGGTGAGTGCGAGAGAGGGAGAGAGGGAGAGAGAGAGAGAGAGAGAGAGAGAGAGCGGGCGCGAGAACTGGCCTGGAAATCTCCAGCATATCCCATTCGGCGTTTTTTAGATCAAAATCACATGGTACAGCAGCGGCGACAACAACGTTCAGCCATTCACGATCCACTATTCCGGAACTGCTAGTGAGTTTTAAGAGCAGCTATGGATACCTTAAAGGTTAGATAAACTCAGAACACCCATTTTTTTTAGCCCCGCTCTACGTCAACCCGACTCCAAGGCCCGTTGCCGAGAAGCAACAATAACTCTTGAAATTCGTGCTAATAAAGTCTTTCAGTGCATGCAAAAGAAAAGCAGGAGTTTTCGAATTTTAGCTGACCGTACAGATTATTGATTTTTAGATATAAGTCGTCTCGGAATCTCGATTCTACAAAGTGAATTGCTTTTTCTGTGTAGCTGTTTCCCGAAGCTTCAAAAGTTTCCACTGTCGGAGAATAGCGAAAAAGCTTCAAGCTTATAAAAGCACTTTACAAGGACCAAAATGAAAATCTATATACCCCGGAAGTGCAAAAAGCCTACGACACTCGGGATTCCCAAGCCGTCTCCGATCCAAGTACTAACCGAGCCCAACGTTGCTTAACTTGGCAGATCGGACGGGATGCCGTGCTTTCAACGTGGTATGGTCGTAGGCGAAAGGGGGACGGGGAGGAAGGGTGAAGTGTTAGCGGTAAGCTAGAGATGGGACAGAGATAGAGGTCTCAGACGACAGTCAGCCCAGCTCGTACAGAGCTAGGTAGAGGTATCAGACGAGCAGATGCTCGCTTTTTGGAGGGTTGCCCTGCAAGAGACTGATATCTACTAGCTGAATAGGACAGAAAAGCAGCCACCCCTCGATAGCTTCGGTTTAATTACCCAAGTTTGAGGTTAGCATTAACCCCGAGACCTCCTCAAAAGAGTGTTTCGAACAAATTTTGGAACGCATTCCCCACAAAGGGAGTGCACAAAGAATGTGAAAGAGATGGAACGAGCTTCCGGTCACTTCGGTGTTAGCAGGGTCCCCGCTACCGCCCGGGACCCCTCACTCAAAAATTGTAAAGTACACGATCCCTTATTGGGGGATGGTGTTGTGGTTCAGCCTGACCGGGGAGTGCAATGGCCGGGCCTCATCACAGAATCTCCTCCTTCATGATCGAGGATCATCACTTCCAGGTAGGTTGTCGATAACTGGGTACTGTAGGTTGTCAATGAGAATAGTGAGCCAGGTGGGGAAAGTTTGCGGGACCGGAAGTAATATTTTGGCTTAGGCTTAGGAACCTAAAAAAACCTAAGCCTAAGCGGACGACAAGGAAAAGAGAGACGAGAAGGAGGAGGGGATCCAGATACAGGAATCCACCGTAAAGACGGTGCTAAGCGTACGTTTTTCAAGCAAATTTTACATACAATTTTTTAAAGGTAAGCAACGTTATACGGCGACAAGAGCAAGAGCGACGAGAAGAAGGGAGAAAACGAAAAGCCAGCGAGGAAACGTGCATACGCTGCAAACGTACTGGCCACCCGTCTTCGGAATGCAAGCAGCCAGAGGGCACCGCAAAAAAGGAATGCTCAGTAAAGCGGGAGTGTGCCTACGGTGCATCATGCACCCAGCCACCCAAAGGCAAAGGAGGAGACTCTATGCTCAAGTCAGCTTTTCTTTGCTGAAGCTATGATCCTCTTAAATCTCGAATCGCCGAAAAACCCATGATCAAAAACGTGGTCACAAACGGAAGTCGATGAAGTTGAAGCACATAAGCCTTCCGCATTGTGAGGATTTATGATGCAAAGACGCAAAAAAAACGGAAGAAATGTCTCTCCACAAGGTTTGTTGTTTTGTGAGTTACAACAATTTCTAGCAGTTGAAACTTGACATTCGCTCACGAGCACCACGCAAACACAAACGTTTTTGCATTTTTTTGCTTTTCGAATGCCGCTTTGAAAAATATTTTTCGGGGGCGGGGTCTATTGGCCGAAATATCGTATATTTTGTTCGGGATTTTAATCTTTGTGTACCATTTTTCTTTATATGCTCATTGGAATAAACGGACTTACCAGTTTCAAACTATATTTTTTAAGTCAGAATAAACGGGTTAAAAAATCAAAAAGGATGGACCTATCTGTACCATCAGCAACAGTAACATTTCCGGTCGGCTCGTAAAAAGCGCCCGTTCTCTCACTCACAATCTCTCTCTCTCTCTCTCTCTCTCTCTCTCTCTCTCTCTCTCTCTCTCTCTCTCTCTCTCTCCCTCTCTCTCTCTCTCTCTCTCCCTCACTTCCTGCATCTAGTTACGCTGCGAAACCCCCCATCGCCCCCTTCGCTGCATATCACCCCAAGCGCGGCATTCCAAAAAACCTTAGGCGTCGTTTGCTTAATTACCATTCCATTCTGTTTCAAGCAAACATTCAAAACATTTTTATCAAGCTTTAATTTAAATAGCAAAAACTCTTGCACTCGTGGTTCCAGCTTTTACTTGAACTTGCTACTAAAATTGGCTTGGCTTGGCATGGCTTTGCGGACCCTAAACTATTGCTCATTTCAGGACCCGTCTTCAACTTGTGCGTATTCTACCAAAAATTGAGGCCTTCGAAAAAGGCACCTATCGAACGTTTCAAATGAAGTGAATTGAAGATAAATCGACAAGTATCCACGTACTTCGGCCTGAACCAAATCAAATAAAGGTCACGTGAGATCTGGCCGACCACATAAACGCACTCATGTGTGACAATTTGAAGGTAGGGGTGCATTAAGAATATACAAATTTCCATAAAAGCAAAACCAGGAAAAGTTACCTTTTACATCGGGTTTCTACGCCAGGTTGTTATTGATTTCGGCAAATTATAGCATGCTGAAGAAAACTTTGTTTCTATAATGTAGCCTGTTTTTATGCTTACGCCATGCCCTATTTTTTGTGGATATCACCGGCTTTCCTCAAATGCAAAATTTCAGACCCGCAAAGAAAAACCGTATCGTACACGAGACTAAAATTCGTAGTAGATGGGTTGAAGATGAAGAGCGCATGATAGAATTTGAGCAACAGCAACAGTTTTTTGAAGGTAGGGAATTTAATTTATCCTTTACCCTCCGACAAACCAGAATTGTGAAATTCTTTGTTAAACTGCCTCTCGAAAGCAAACCATTTAAATTTCAAAAATTTAGGTGCTAGCTGCGAATGATAAAACCTGGAAAACATTGGAAATTAACGTGCAAAGCTCGGGAGCTTTTGGAGAAAAAGGCAGCGGAAACTCCGAAAAAAATGGATGAAGGTATGAAAAAGCCTCAGCTTAATTATCATCATTAACCGGATTCCAAAAAGGCTAGGCGTCCTTTGCTTGATTACCTTTCCATTATGTTCCAAGCAAATGGCAAAATATTTTTACCAAGCTTTAATTTAAATAGCAAGAACTTTGCACTCGTGCTTTCAGCTTTTTAAAGAGCTCTTTATCAAAATTTTCACGGTTTTGCGAACACTAAAATATTGCTCATTTCAGGACCCGTCTTCAACTTGTGCGTATCCTACCAAAAATTGAGGCCTCCGGAAAACGCCTCTATCGAACGTTTCAAATGAGATGAATTGGCGCTAAATCGAGACGAAACCACCTATTTTGGATTGAACCGGATCAAAAAAGGTCACCGGGGGATCTGGCCGACCACATTAACGCACTCATGTGTGACAATTTGAAGGTAGGAGTGCATTAAGAATATACAAATTTCCATAAAAGGAAAACCAGGAAAAGTTACCTTTCACATCGGGTTTCTACGCCAGGTTGTCATTGATTTTGACAAATCATTGCATGCTGAAGAAAAATTTGTTTCTATAATGTAGCCTGGTTTTTATGCTTACGCCATGCCCTGTTTTTTGTGGATATCATCGGCTTTCCTCAAATGCAAAATTTCAGACCCGCAAAAAAAACCGTATCGTACACGAGACTAAAATTCGTAGTAGATGAGTTGAAGAAATCCAAAAAGGTTTAGGTGTCGTTTGCCTAATTACCATTCCATTCTGTTCCAGGCAAATGTTCAAACATTTAATTTTCCAGACTTTAATTTATCAAAAACTCCTCCAATTTGTCTTCCAGCTTTTATTTGAACTTTTTACTAAAATTTTCACGACTTCGCGAATCTTGAAATATTATTAATTTTAGGACTCGTCTTCAACTTGTGCGTATTCTACCAAAAATGGAGGCCTTCGGAAAACGCCTCTATCGAACGTTTCAAATGAGATGAATTGGCGCTAAATCGAGACGAAACCACCTATCATATTTTGGATTGAACCGGATCAAAAAAGGTCACCGGGGGATCTGGCCGACCACATCAATGCACTGATGTGCGACAAATTGAAGGTAGGAGTGCATCAAGAAAATATAAAGTTCTGTAAAAGGAAAACCAGAAAAAGGTACTGCCTATATCGGGTTTTTACGCCAGGTCGTGATCAATTTTGACGAACTATTCCATGCTCAAGAACTACAATTTTTTGTATAATTAGGAGCTATTGTTTATGCTGGCACCAGGCACGATTTTACTGAATATCACCGGCTTTCTTAAACTACGAATTTTCAGGTGCGAAAAGAACGTCATATTCGCGTACTCGGAAGAGTTCAATAGTAGATGAGATGAAGATGGAGAGCGCAAAATAGAACTTGAGAAAGAACAATGGTTTTTGAAGGTAGGGGAATTTAATCCACCCTTATCCTCTGGCAAGCTATGGTTGTCAATTCTTTATTAAAGCGCACGTTCAGGGAGGGGCCCTGTACTCGCCCCAACGTGTACACCCTATGGACGTAGGGACCGCGCGCACTGCCTGCCCGTGCTGTGACAGGCCATTTCCCTCCTTTGCGGGGTGGGGAGCCCCTCGCCCCCTCTCCAGGTTGTAGCTGTGGCTGACTGGTATCCATCGGCGCCTCCCGAGCGGGGGGCCTGGGTTCGACCCCCCGGCCGCGGCAAAATGCTTTGCTTTTTTCCAAAAAATGTCCCTGAACGTGCCCTTTAAACTGCTTCTCGAAAACAAGTACTTTAAAGGGCACGTTCAGGGACTTTTTTTGGAAAAAAGCAAAGATGTTTTTCAGCTTTATGTCGCGGCCGGGGGTCGAACCCGGGCCCCCCGCTCGGGAGGGCGCGGATGGATACCAGTCAGCCACAGCTAGAACCTGGCGGGCGGGCGAGGGGCGCCCCACGCCGCAAAGGAGGGGAATGGCCAGTCACAGCACGGGCAGGCAGTGCGCGCGGTCCCTACGTCCTTAGGGTGTATACGTTGGGATGAGTAGGCCCCTCCCTGAACGTGCGCTTTAAGTGTAAAAATTTAGGTGCTACCTAGAAAAGATCAAGATCGAGAAACATTGGAAAGCAAAATGATAAAAACTCGAGCGCTTTTGGAGAAAAACGCCGCGGAAACTCCGAAGAAAATAAATGAAGGTATGAAAAAGCCTCACCTTAATTATAATTATTAGACGAGTACTAGTACTAACATTCATATTTTATCTTTAAATCAAAACGCGAAATTTGTAAGCAATTTTGAGTTATGCGACTTGCCAAAATCGCGAAAACAACTATGATATTTTAGGTGCGAAAAAAAGATTGGCGTTTACCTGGATGAAGTCGCGATCAAAAAAATTGACAAAGAAGAGATCAACGAATGGAAATGCCAAACCTACTAATGCAAAAATTTGAAGGGCTGTCGGAGGCAAAATTCAATAAAAGCACTAAAGAAAATGGATGTGAGGTATGGAAGGCCACGGTTTACTTTACCCCCCGATCCACCCGGAATGTTTTGGCTATAACTTATTTTCGAAAATTATTGTAGGCTGAAATTCAAACTCTTAGTATATTTTTCGACACTCTGCCGAATGGTGTGCAAAAAATCCTGACAAGCTAAACGGAAATACCGAAAACTTTGAGCCCCTTCTGCTGGGGGGGGGGGGGCTAAAGCCAGGCCTGGACGAAACGCGGGGCCGGACCGTAAACTTCGGTTTTTAAGGGGAAATTGAGTGCAATTTTGGATATTTTTCGTGCCTAAATAGCCTAGTTATGCTTGTTATACCAATTTAGTACGCTTTATGGCTTGTCTGGCCTCATTCAGTACCAAGGAGTCGACCCAGTTTCGCCCCCGCCCGGCGTTAGCTTCTGTTTTTTTTGGTTTTTTTACGGCAGGGGATCGGATCTCATGATTGATTTTTTCATAGCAATAGCGTAAGTGTTTGTAAACGGTTTTCACTATGCCTAAACGTAAAACCATGAAAATTGATGCTACAAAAGTTAGAAACGATTTTAGGCCAAAAACTCGTCGTAATGCTAAAAGTTAAAATTGCGAAAAGTTCTCCAAAAATTGTTCACCAACACCTGCTCACATCAACGTGTATTGCCATTATGCTTTGACGCTACAAAAACCACGTTTACAGGAAATTGTTTGGCTGACCCTGTTTTTGACCTAAAAAGTCGGGCCGGGCCGGGCCGGGAAAAATCGGGGGTTCCGGCCCGCGTCCAGGCCTGGCTAAAGCAAACTCTTAACGTACGGAAAAGCTTCGACCAATCCCGCTTCCCGACATCGCCAAAATAGCTTAATATTCGAAATTTCAGGTATGAGAAGGACAGCGTAAACCAACACCTGCATGGAATCATTATTAGCAAGAAGCAAAATGCACAACGAAAAGATAGGAAACGAAAGGAAGGAAGGAAATTTCACGTGGTGAAAAAATTATAAAGGTGTGTAAGAACTTAAATATCTCCGTAATTTTTGAGGGCACTAACCTTCATTAAAACACTTCCTAAAATCACCAAAACTATTTTAATTTACGGGATTTTAGGTAGAAGACTGGAAACATCGGTATCTTCAGTGGAGATGATTCCGGGAGAAAAAAAGCAATATGAAGAGCGAAGATTGGAAAAAATTAAAGCAAAATATCGAAAAATTCTTCGAACTATTCATCGTGGGCCAGAAAACGATCACGCGCCGCGCATGACTTTATAATTGAAACTTCTACGGAAATTATTGGAAGAGTCACGAAATACCAACTAACGCTACACGAATACGGAAAAAATCAGCAAAAACACTGACCAATTCGACGAAGATAACCGAAATCGGAAAACGCGCGAAGTACGCGGAAATAAATTGAAGAAATGTTTTAAGACCCATGATGACACCAGAAGAATCAAGAAACATCAAAAATAAGTCGGAAGCTACATTTATTATACGCGAAATTAAAGTAGGAAATCGATGGAGAGGTCGAAAAACTACTGCACATTTTGCGAGGCAATATCCGGATCCGAGACAACTTCTCCTTCCAAAAGAAAAATTATATCCCCACCGCACCGACCAACCTTCATCCATATGCTTTCCTAATGGTCATACGTTGAACCAAAAAGTGAGTACTTTTATTCACGTTTTACAACATACTAGGGTACCAGTCAGCCCTGTTCGGGGGCAAAAACTTTTGTAAAAATTCTAATTTTGGGGCCGAAAAGTATCTACAGGGTGTCCGAAAAATCGACCCGTCTAGCGGTCCGTAGAATCGTCGGATCGGCATGATTCTTACACCATTCGAAAGCTCCCGGAAATGCGAGAAAACAAGCGCTTTTTTCCCGAACATTTTTAATCCGATCGGAACGATAGTTACACCATTCGAAAGGCCTTGAAACGTCCAGTTTGCAACATACAAAAACTTGGTTTGGAAGATTGTTGCAAATTCGCCGCTTCAAGGGCTTTCGAATGGTGTAACTATCATTACAATCCGATACTTCTGTGTCCGGTTAAAGGGGATTTTTCTATTCGAACACCCTGTATTGATCAAAAGCCGCTAGCGCCGTTGAATTTCGTAACTGAAATTCGAAAAATACTAGCACCTGAATTTTTATGACAAACTTCCTTTATTTCCAGCGTTGAGTTCTCAAAACGAATGACCAAGGATGCGTGGGACCCAAACCGGTGAACTTGAAAATGGTACAGCTGTTTCGGAGCCACGGACATCAGAAAGCCTTCGGAAGCCACTTAGGACTATTCGAGTTTCTAAAAATGCCGATGGGCGTTAGCAGTGCCGCTGGCGTTGCTCGAATTTGGATAATGGACAAACACAAATGAGTAGGTTTTCTGCTCTTTGTTTATACTTTGTTATGTCTTCCCCGAAAAATGAAAAGTTTCAGAATGGTTTCATTGACACCTTTGTGCGATCAGGGACGGAAATGCTTAAAGGGATAGGGGCGGCATAAGTCAATCGATTACGCCCGGGAAAGAAAATGTCTCTGCGCCTCTCCCCTGGGCGCCCTCTCTCGTCGCCGGTCGCGCTGGGACCTGTTGAACCCCCCCCCCCCCCCCTCCCCAAGGGGGGGTTCAACAGATGCCGTCCTCATCTCTTTAAGGAAATGCCCTCCAGTTCCAGTAAGTTTTACAAGCTCTTTAAAATGTGATCTATTTTGCCTTTAATTTTTAGCGCTGAATTTGTCGGAAATCCGCTAGGAACGTTCATTTACGGCGCATAAATTAAATAAAAAATCGGCGTAAAGCAACGTAAAAAGACGAAATCTGTCATACCTTTGCAAAGTATAGTATCGATTTCTGCTTTCAGCATCAAGGCAGCGAATGGATGCAAAAGAGGACGGTCCAAACAAAAACAAACCGCATTTTGTATTTGTGTCAGTTATCTGGTGATAAATACCTGCTGTAGAGTCTAGACGGTCTAGCAGAAACTACTCTCTCTCGCTTCCTACTATCTGGGCTAAAATGAAACAGAAGATTGGAAAGTCGGCTGAAATGAACCAGAAGAAGGAAAATGAGAATCGGGCAGAAATACGCGGAAGGCGCCCAAGTGATGGTAAGAAGAGAGAAACGCGGGAAGAAAATTGGGAGCAGCCTGGGATGGACCATATTCGGTAATCAAAGACGAAAGATCGTCAGTCACTCTAAAAGGGAGGACAAGAAGAGGCCAAATCGTCGTGCATAAGAGCCGCGTAAAACCCTACAAGACGCAAACTACAAGCGCAGAAGAAGAAGAGAACACCGAAGATGAAGACAGGGCTGAAGAAGACGATGAAGGGAAAAACAAAGAAGAAGTCGGAGATGGAGATGAGGATGAGGAAGACCGAGAAGAGCCAGAAGAAGCCGATGCCCTCTTTGTCACTGCCACGCCCGCTCGGAAGCTCGGGACGAACTTCTTGCGAGCCGATGGGATGTAAGCTGACCACGCAGACTATGGATGGAAAAGCCTCTGTCTACCCGCAGAGAGAGCGCAGAGATGCGGAAGGAGGGGGCGGAGCCTTTTGCTCCTTTATAACCCTAGCCCCTAACTAAGGCTAGGGGGTCCAATCTCCGTTCCCCCCAGACCTTCCGCCCTCTGCGGTCTCCCTCGGGCTGCCATTTTGGTGTGCCCCTCTCTATATTTATGATTTCTGTAGGGCCCCAATAAAAGCCCCCCATTCTTATACTAATGGTCCCCTGGAAGGAGTTCGCATCTCACTGTAAAGTGTTTTTACTCAGGCTGGCGTTTTAGAATGGGAACAAGCCTACCTTGCGCAGAATTTTTCGCTGATTCCGAATCTGGTTTTCAAATTTGCTGCCGACATTTATTTAAAAAGTTATTCGACATTAGGCCAAAAAATTGACTAAATCTGGATTT